TTGGGAGCGCGGCGGCCCTCCTGCTGAGGGTTCAGATCCCACATACAGACCGGTTCCCGCTCGCTGGCTGAGCGAGGTGCGGGAGCAACACCAAGGGTTGCGATCCCGTTGCCGGTCCCGGTCCGGTGCGGGCGCGACACTGAGGGTTGTGATCCGTTGCTGGACACGAAAAAAAGACAAAAAAAAGGGAAAAAAAAAAAAAAAGAATTTGGGGCCTTTACAACTAACTTAGTAGGAAAAAGGGAAAGGGGAGGAAAGTTTCCTATGGAAGAACAAATAGATTTTTTTTAAGGAAAGACAAATGCTTTTTTAGGGAGATAAGAAAGTTTGTGATAAAGCTTGTTTATATAGGTGTGACTGAGTAGTATTTTCATCTTCTGAATTTAGGGTAGGTCTACTCTTGGTCCTGTGAGTATAAGCAGCCCTTAGAGGGAATTTATAGCAGTCCTCATTTCTCAGGAGTTTCTGCTTTTAGTCAGTGTTTTAGTCTGTTTGTGTTGCTATAACAGAAATACCTGAGACTGGGTAATTTATAAGGAGAAGAGGTTTATCTGGCTTACGATTCTGGAACAGCTGCATCTGGCACGGACCTCAGGCTGCTTCTACTGATGGTGGAAAGTGGCAGGGAGCCGGCAGATACAAGCAGATCACATGGCGAGAGGAAGCAAGAGAGAGAGAGAGAGAGGAGGTGCCAGGTTCCTTTAAACAATCAGCTCTCACGGGAACTAATAGAGTGAGATCTCACTCATTATACCTCCTCCCCCAGGGAGAGCATAATCCATTCATGAGGGGTCCGCCCCCACGACTCAATCAGTTTCCAACACTGCCACATTGGAGATCAAATTTCCACATGAGTTTTGGAGGGGACAACACATCCAAACTCCATCAGTCAGGGCCGGCCCGGTGGCGCACTCCCGCCGAGGGTTCGGATCCCACATACAGACCGGTTCCGCTCACTGGCTGAGCGAGGTGCGGGAGCAACACCGAGGGTTGCGGTCCCGTTGCCGGTCCCGGTCCAGTATGGGCGCAACACTGAGGGTTGCGATCCATTGCTGGACACGAAAAAAGACAAAAAGGAAAAAAAAAAAAAAAAAAAACTCCATCAGTCAGATAAGGGGAGCTCCAAGAAGGCTTCTTTCTGCATCTGTTGAATATCAAATGTCTTCAGCCTAAAAGAATCTTTATACCGATTCTGGGGTTCTGAGTGTGTCCCCATGTAATATAAAAAATGTTTAGCACAAGATTTACAAACAATGATACAATACAAGGGTACTTCGAAAAGCATGTGGAAAAATAGAATTAAAAGCTAATATGGGGCCGCCCCGAGGCGCACTCGGGAGAGTGCGGCGCTTGGGTGCACAGCGGCGCTCCTGCCGCGGGTTCGGATCCTATATAGGGATGGCCGGTGCGCTCACTGGCTGAGCGTGGTGCGGGCGACACCAAGCTGAGGGTTGCGATCCCCTTACTGGTCACAAAAAAAGACAAAAAAAAAAAAAAAAAAAGGAAATATGAATCTTTCCATGAACTTTTGAAAACCTTTCCTATACAATACTCTGTATTGTAAATCCCATACACCCTTAGTTCAATGTGACTTGCTATTTCTTGAAAAATCACCATCAGTTTTTATAATTATTTAGCCAACAACTGTGTTACAAATTCAAGCTGAGAATAAATGCTTTATTTCTATCTGATTTAGCAAAGAAGTAACTTACATCATTGACAAACAAGTGTACATTTGACATAAATGTTGGTTGATATTTTTGTTTACATAAAGGAGTAAGACAAAATTGTATGTCAGCACTTCACTTACAATGATACAAGCAACTTTGCTGAATGACATGGTAGTTTTTAAATACTGAAAGAATATTTCCTCGACCCAGGGGGAGGGAGGCTATTCACAATGTGATAGTTGCAGATATGAGACATTTTAAGTTTAATCTTTGTTAACATTTTCACTATTGCTTTCTTAAATCTAGAGATAATCAACAGTGAGTTAAAACCTGCTTTGTAGTATTTGACAATTTCCGTGGTGTAAATACTCCCATCCTGGCTGATTTCAAGCAATCACTATGACATGTAGAGGCACAGTTGGGAAGATATGTGCAGTATCACACCACTAAATACTATTTCCACTCACAGATACAACAGATGTAAATAACCTTAAGAGCATAGAAAATGGAAAAACATAGTGAAACAATTAGAAGGTGGTGAGTTTTAAATTTTTAACTTTTGTTTTTAATATAATTTAATTGTACATTTATGTAATATGAATTTTAATAATAGCAGTATTTAACTTTCCAGCTCATTAACCACTGATTGCCAGTTTTACGAATGAGGAAACCGAGGCTCAGAGAGGCTGTCACGAACTTGCTCTGGTCACACAGGACAGTGCCACTCAGGTCTAATTCCAAACCTTCTTCCTTCCACTGTGCTTCTCTTTAGAATAACTGAACTACCTGCACATCAACACCCAAGCATCTTGGTGTGTGGATGGATTTATCATTTGTTGAATAAATAGTCGTTGCTTTCTTTTTCAATAGGTGGAATGGGAAACCTGACTAGGCGAAAATAAAGGAATAAATGGAAAGAGAACGTTGATAGCCAAAAGAATCTGACCAGGTCAGCTAAATTATAGTGCCTTGGGAGATTGAGAATTAGTCAGTAATCACGTCCACCTGTCCTGGATAATATCATCATAAGACTATTTTACTTAGAAGCAGCCATAATGGTGCCAGAAAGCCATGAGATTACCTAGAATATTTCTTGTATTCTAGATCCCTGCATGTGGGATGTAACTTAGTAACAATTCCAAATCTGTATGTCACCTACAACCAACAGAAAACCTGATGAAATAGTTGGAGCTGTCTTTCTTCTCTTCTTTGACCTTTGCCCCTACTTGTGATCATAAAATGTTAAGCTCTGCTGGCCCTCTTTGGAACACGTTTTTCAGGGCTACCTGATCTATGTGTCTTCCTGGTTGCAATGACCATATTGGCTGAGTAAATCCTTGCTATATGTATTCGGGCACAATTTCTTTTTTAAGTCAACGACACCTACTTAGCAGTTTTGTTCATGACATGTTGGGATCTGTCCCCTCCTGAGATTTGACCAAGTCAAGATTTAATGACCAGTAACTGGTAGAAATAATACACCATTCTTTTTTTTTTTTTTTTTAAAGTTTGTCATTCAGTGTTTCTTTTCGCATATTTTCAAAGTTCAATGAAAATGTTATTTAAGACTCACCTTAGAGGTGACAGCAAAGGACAAGTATTAAAAATCAAACAAATTTCCAAGAGTTTCTCTCAAATTTATTAATGGTTCATCATTTATACCTCAACACAAATACAACTTGGCCAAAGGTCTGGGCCACTCCGTCTCCACTACATTATTTTCAAATAAGCCGTCTCCGCCTTCATCGACTGTCAACCAGCGAAGCCAAGCTTTGACACCACGACAGCCAGCTTCAAATCTCGCAGTTCGAGGAGAAAGAGCATTAAAATCAGAGTCCGAACGCCACAAGTCACAAGATTCCTCAGGAACGATCTTAATTTACATAATGGAATTCCAATAGAAAAGTGCTTTGAAACGTTCAGACAGAGTCGTTGCCTTGCAAAGCATCGCAAGCCTCCGACCACAGCACAGCGACCCACAGGGAAGCGGCGTCTGCCGCGGCGGCCGAGAGTGCCGGAGCCGCACATGCGCGGTCAGTCCCGCCGAGCCTGCGCTCAGCCCCGCCTCTCAGAAAAGCCGGGTTCCCTGAGAGTCCGTGGGCGTCCGGACGCTGACGCGCGGGCTGCGACTGCGCAGGCGCAGTCGGGGCGCCTTAGCGGGGCTGGAGCCTTTGCGTCTCGCGTGTCCTGAGTCCTCGGTTTGCGACGTGCCGTTGGGCCTGCAGGGCTGGAGGTCTGGGGTCTTGGATCCCGGCCAAGTCTCAGCAGCACGGAGGTGCAGGGTGTCGCCGAGGGCGCGGGGCCTGGCGCCGCCGGCGGCGTGCCCCG